GGGGCAGAGCAGCCTGCCAGGCTAAGGCATGAAGGCGAATAAAACAGTACCACTGTGTGGGTCCCAGAGAATAAACTGGCTCCAGCAGGACAGGCCTCTGTGCAATAAAAAGCCCCTGTACCCAGACCAAGAAAAGACTGGGGCAGTTTAAAGCAGTGTGTGAACCACAGGTAGGCAGCACCTGGTGGACCAGGCTTCTGCAGGACAGCTGTGTAGGTCAACATCCCTGCTGTGGTGTCTTCTGACCCACAAACCCACTCTTCACACTGAGGCCGGAAGTCTTTTGAGAGACAAATTTCATCAAGTTAGCCAGTGAAAACCTCTCTGCATTATTTGACGATAAACCCAATTCTTGTTCTGTCCACGGGTCTGCAAGGTCTCCTCCCCATCCTCTCACCACCATTGTTACCCTCTACTGCCCCACTGTAGCCACACAGCCATCCCTCATCTTCCCGAACACTCACTGGTCCCAGGGCCTTTGCTCCTGCTGGGCCCCTTCTGGCACCTACATCCACAGATAGCCCTGAGGTGGCTTGCTGCTCCCTTAGAAGCTCTGCTGACCTCCAGCCAGATCAGCTGTTAGCTGCTCTATAAGTATTCTGCACAGTGCCTGTCTGATTTTGGTTTGTGATGCTGGGATGGGCAGTTACATCCTTCTAAGGCTGGGAGCTTGGAAAGCCTGCTCTATTGCTCTGTATTGGCATGCTTGCTCCTCACATCCATTAAGGCACAGTATGGAGGTGTTTCCAGGAGAGTCATTCTACTCTATTGCTTTCCTGTTTTTGACTGGGTTCTTTTAATAGTTCATAAATGCTTTTGAAACTTTAAAAAAATTTTTTGAGACAGACTCTCCCTATATTGCTCCAGTTGGCTTTGAATTCCTAGACTCAAGCCATACTCCTGCCTCAGCCTCCCCTGTGGCTGGAACTACAGGTGCACACTACTGTGCCCAGGCATAAGTGCTTTGTTTAAAGAAAAAAAAGTATGATTAGGTTAAAAAAAAGTTGGCCATCTTGTCCCTAGAAGCTCTATTTTGTACTGTTCTTTTTTGAGGCTGCCCCTGAGCCATGGAACCCTGAGGTCTGAGAAAGACTATGCTGTAGGAAGACGCTATTTTCTAGACCCTAGACACTGGGGGATATGTCCCAACTCAACTCTGGTCTGTATGCCCCCATTTCTGACTCTAGCAACCTGCTGCAGGGTTCTAACAGGCAAAGGTGGAAATGGCTAGCGACTGAAGTGTTCTATGTAACTCCTCACCTAACGGAACAGGATGCAGGCTCCTCATAGAGCAACTTCAGAGGGCTACCTTAGGTTGTGCCCCACCTGCCCTGCATATTATGACACACTCTCTCACTGTATATTTTATCTAGCACTGGGAACCAGCACCTTTCCAGGGCCTGCTCCTCCTGATAATCTACTGAGCCACCATCCTCCCATCCCTGCCACCTGGACTGTCCCAGAGTTAGTCTGCATATCTGCCACTCAGTCACAAAATGCTATTACTATTACTATATATAAGATATATGTGGACAGTGACAACTACTTGTGCCCACTTGGATGTACCCTAGGCCCTGCCTCACCTCTTAAATGCCATCATGCCAACATTTCTCTGAGCAGGTCATACTGTGACAGGGTCACATCCTAGCACCAGTCTTGTACCTAACATGCAGTATATGCTCAATAAATAGCTGAAATGAATGGATTTTCATTGACCACATTTTCATTGACTGGACTTCATGAATGGATTTTAAAAGTCAGAATACATTGGGTATAGTGGCTCACACCCATAATTCTAGCACTTGAGAGGTTGAGATAGGAGGACTGCCTGGAGTTCAAGGCTGGCCTTTGAACTACACAGTGAATGTCATGCCAGCTTGGACTACAAAGACCCTATCTCAAACAAACAAACAAACAAACAAACAAACAAACAAACAAAAAGTAAGACTGGATGTGCAGCATATGCCATGGCTCCAGGTATCTGTCAAGTGTTGGCATGAACAGGGTTGGGAAGAAACTAGAAATGTCTGCTCAGGGGTCTGGTATCTCTTAAGGTGCCTGGATAGTGGGAAAATTCTCCTAGTACTATGATGGCCAAGATATGTGGAGACAAGCAGGAATCCTCTCTGATTCCAAGTGGCCCCAAGGCTACACATAGGCAGCAGCCTGAGGTTTCTCCTCTAAGCCAACTTGTCCTCAGAGCAGTCTTGGTCAGTGAGATACTAGAGAAGTTCCATAGCCTCAGAAGGTTGGCTTACACCCTCTCCCTTACTCAAAGTAGCCATAGTTGTCTTTCTAGCCCCTGTAAAGCACCATCACATGGTGATAAAGTGGCTTGAACAGCTCAGGACCCACTCCTTAGGACTTGGCTCAAGCAGAAAGTATATCAGTCTGAGATTTGCCACTCACTCAGCAGCTGCACAGAGGCCCTAGGCAGCTTTGGCACTAAGCACCTACTTACTGCATACTGAGTGTGTACAGGATAGACTGACTTACCTGACTTTCCCAGCAGCACTCCTAGAAGTTCCTCAGAGCCATTTTAAAGGTGAAGCCTAAGCCTTACCAGCACAAAGACCTGGGAGGGTCACATAGATGCTGGCTACCAGCTTTACCAGAGGCTGACTGTGCACATCACTAGGGCAGGCTGAGAGCAGAAGAATGCAGGCCTACCTCTAGCCCAAAGCAGGAGCCAAAGCAGTAGTCAGCTCTGGGAGGTTAGGGATTTGCAAACAGTGGCCACCTATCCAACTAAGACAAGTGCTGCATGTCCTTATCTGCTAGAGAAGTGTTAGAGAAGCCATAAGATGTGTGCTAGGTACAGGCATACAGTAAAAGGACAGACATGGGCACATGAACAAACCCAGGAACAGTGAGGCTTAGGGCCCTGCAGAGCCGGGATGCTATTTTCTAAAAATCTTTTACCTTGTCTGCTCTCCCTTCTCTCTCCCTGCTCTCTCTCCCTCATTTGGTAGAAATGGTCATTATAACAGTGACCTCTGCCCCATGCCACCCTCCTCTTCAGGGGAACACAAGGCAGGCTTTGCTTAGGGAACAATCAGCCCCTTTCTTTCTAGTGTGACCATGTTTTTCCTGTGACTGGTAGAGGCTATCTTACTGATACTTGCCACATGAGACCCAAGAGCTGGTACTGGTCAGTGGACACTTGGGCTGGCTGTTGAGGCTTTCTCCCGTGCTGTGGTTTCTTATCAGTGTGATGAGGCCAATAAATATACATTATGTCACCACTTTATGGCATTTCTTTAAGCCTACCATACCTTATCAAGAGAGATAAAAGTGGACCAATCTCAAATCCCTCTCCTTGAGTCAGCTTCCCAGCTTATCCGGTAGACAGAAACAGGCTCGGCTTCCAATTACTTAGCCATCGCTCACCACTCCCAGGTTTAGCTATACAGAAAACATTTTGTGTACTATGAAGTATGATGGTATGCCCCAGGATTTATAATCACAAAACAATTTTTTTTTAAAAGCCAACCAACAACATGGTGGTACATGTCTTTAAAATCCATAAGTCCTTACTGTGCTCTGAACATTGCCCTCTTTATCAAAAGATATAATCTGCAATCAGGCTCGGTAAAGACGGCCAGCCATTAGTTTCTTAATGGCCAACTACCCAAAAAAGGCTCAGTTAAGTGATCTCAACTCGCAACCTAATCAATTAAAATTGATAAGTGAAATACTTTTAACCTTTATTTCAGTGAGGCCCTTCTTAGGGGGAGGAAGGAAGGAATGTGAATTCCTAGCACAAAATTTAATTCCATTTCATGGATGCAAACACTGAAGAGAGCCGTCTCCTTTTCTATATGGATCAAATTAGAGAAGTACTGGTTATGATTCTCTCCAGCCAACTCAATCAATTCCAGCTTTTAAAGAAATAAAGCCATTTCTCCAGGGTGAAAGGGTTGAAGGAGATAGGCAGAGAGCATAGAGGGTCAGGGCTTTGTTCCTCCAAGACAGAGAGAGATGAAAGAACACAAATAAGGGCCAGGACAAAGTGAGCCAGCCAGGTACTCTATAGCACTGTCATCTAGTGAGAAGAGCCCAAGTATTGGGTGCCTAGTGCTCCACTAGCAGGTTGACTTCTCTGGTGTGCTGAGCACTAGCTGCTCAGTTAAGTGACATTGAGTTGCACTGCACTTCATGTTATCTTTCACCTGATCTTTAAAGCAAGACCGCCTCTCCAATTTTATTTTCTCACTAGTAGGGGTGGAACCCAGAGTCTTATGCATGCTACACAAGGCTTTCCCAGAGTTCCCTACCCCTAACTAGACTCATTTTACAGAGGAAACAAGCTGTGGTGGCTTCCAAGTATGGTGGCATACAAGTATGAGAAGGGTTCTGGGAACACCACCATTATCTATACCTTTAAATCTCAGCAATGAGCTGGACATGGGGACACAAGCCTGTAATCCCAGCACTTGGAAGGCAGAATGATCTCAAGTTCAAGACCAGCCTGACATACACAGAGAGACTCTGTCTCAAAAATAAAATAAAAACAATACTCTGCTTTATGATACAGAAGAAAACAGCAAGGCAACGATGGCCAAGTACAGAGTTCCAGGTCACAGGCTAAGCACATGGCTCTCTGATCTCTAAAGTCATCATTCTTACATAAGCACTGGTGACTTGCTTTTCTGTACTTCTTATGTCTCTCTGTTGTTTCCATTTCATTTTGGTGACAGGCTTCCTTTCAGTAACAGCAGAATCCTTATTTTAAATCATTGGAATCACACAGAAACCCCTTAATCCATAATACTAGTCAGGCCGGTGCTGTTCTGGTTATTTGAATGGAGGGCAGGGACCTGGGGCAGGCCCCATTCTCAACTTGAATCCTGCCCAACACACACTTTTCAGCAATGTTCCCAGGTCAATGGCCATACAAAGTGCATGCTATGCTCACCCCAACCCTAAAAGTTTGTGACTCAACAGACCATTGTCCTGAGTCCCCTGGCCCATTGGTGCAACTCTGGATGCTAACTCACTCAAGTCCAGGACATCATCTGTTTTGATCAGGTCCTCCTCTCGAGTCAGCGGCAACTGGGTCTCAGGTTCCCCACGAAGCTGCAGTGACAGGGAACGCAGCATGAAGAATACCCGGATGGCCTGGACAGAGCAGAGAGAAAGTGATGTTGCAGGTGTGTGGTCAAGGTGCCCTGCATGAAGGTGCTACACTGACTCTTGGCTAAACAGAAGAGAAGGAAGGAGAACACAGATCAGCCTTGCAGCACTATGACCCAGAGCTGTCACAGTAAGTCTGTTTCAGTCCCTCCAATAGATTCTGGCCTGGATCATTTCAGCAGGCACATTATCTGCCAAGACCTGTCCCCAAGGTTCATGTGACCTTTAACACACATCCCCACCTTGGCAGCTTGCCTATTCCACAGCCAGCAAGCAGCTAAGACCAAGGGAGGTAAGGAGGCCTGCCTGAGGTAGTGCTTCTAGGGAAGTAAAGGCTACAACCTGTTTGCTTCTACAACTGCACCGGTGGGGCCAGGAGAGCCAAATTGCCATCAAATGTGTGGGTGCACATTTGATATGAATATGGGACAAGAGAGTGGCATGTAGTTGGTGAGGCTTACTTAAAAGGCCTACTCCCACCCCCAGGGGAGTCCTCCACCTCTTGGGCCTGGGCCTTAGGAAGAGGAGTTTTCTAGAAATGGGGTGAGAACAGATATCCAGCAGGGAGACAACAATGTCCTATGTTTCCTAATCCATTCTTGGGGACAGACAGTTCTGTCAGCACAGGCATCCCTGACCCCTGGAAAAGGAGTCTGTCAGTGTCCAATGTGGCCACCAGTTATGCCCCAAGAGCAGAGAGAAGACACCACCAGTTTCCAGTGACATCTGTGCAGAAGCAGCCCTCAGTCCCAGAAACAGGCTTGCCACCAACCAGGGCCTAAAAGCAGAGGCAGGCCACAGGTGAGGGTACCCCTAGGTCTCTCCCTTATATAGAGTCCAACTGGGGAACACAGCTTCATAGGCACAGACAAGGTTAGCACAGGCCTCTCTTCCACTGTGTATTTGGTCAAGACTTAACTTCTACGGTGTCCTCATCTGACAAACAGCACAGCAATCCCTGACTCTGGCTATGTGACAATCCTGAGACAAGGCTGGCAGGCATGGTCAGCACAGGGCTGCAGAAAGGGGCAACCACCCCAGCCCACTACACTAGATACAGAAGAGTGTGGGACCAAACTACTGTTATTACCACTGGTGAGCCTCACACCAATGAATTCCAGTGTACCCTTGGCCTTCCTGTTTGAGGTGCCTATGAGTCCTGGCCTACATGAAGGGAGGACACCCTTTATTCAGCAAAGGCTTTTGAAAATAAGAGGGACAAGTTCCTTTTCTGCAAGGGGCTTGGGGTGGCACTGCCTCTTAATGGCCCAGGCAGTGAGTATCTGATCAGCACTGAAACCCTGTTCCTGCCTGGGCTCTGAACCTTGGACCAGGCTGTGCATGTAGAAAACTGCAAGAGCACCCCACAGCCCCAGGCTTGCTGAAGGAACACTCCAAGTAAACTAGTAGGAACTAGACAAAGGCAACTTCTACACTGTGATGGTGAGGTGGCATCAGAATCTGACCTTAATGTCCTTAGTAGTTTTTAAAGTTTAGCCTTCAAAAAGACACCAATCAGAAGAAATGGAGGTTTAGCTCCATTAAAAGTCAAGAGCTCCTATCTAGTAAACACCTACTGTATGCCAGGGTTTGGGGATGCCATATTGCAAATTTATGACTGTAGAAGGAAGAGTAGGTGATGAGAGGACAGACTGACCTCAGCACACACAGTTGCTAAGGGCTGAGCTGAGACTGTAATGTTAGGCTCACATGCCACGTAGCCCAGTGCACCAGACGAAGCAATTCTGTGTCAGTCCAGATATCCCAAGATATATGTGTTGGGGGGATAAGGGGAGGTCACTGGGAGTATCTGGTAGTTTGAGCTCTCAAGTAAGGATTTACAACCTCAGGGATGAGGAGGAAAAAAAGTGTGTGGGGGGGAACACTGCAGACAGATCTCAGTCAAGGGCAAGCTTCATGTGTGTCAAATCTACTGCTCTCCGGGTTCTAAAGGCAAAGACCCCTAACAGGGCCACGGCAAAGATGATAAAGCAGAAACATATGCTGCTTTCTGCAGCCTATCCCTTGGAAAACCTGAAGCTTTCCAAGGAATCTAAAAGAGTTTGGAATTTGGCTCTTAACAGTGGACTTTTGGTAAAACATCTGCTTTTGCTCTGTGAACAACAAATGTAAGATATTTCCAGGAATACAAATAAAAATAAAGTCATTTAAAATATAGAATATAAAACATAAAATACCATCTTGATATTTCCTGGCTCCTGCCCCAACTCCCAAGGGAAAGCTGTGAACACAAGAAGCCCATGTCCAAGAACAGAAAGAGGCGAGTCCCACAGGGCAGGGTGCTCCTCATGAGGAAAGCCGGCTCCCAAGGAGACCTAAGGGGCTGGCAAGCATGTTGACTGGCCCTGAAAAGCCACAGAGAATGGAAACCATGAGGCTAGGGGTCACACACTTTATGCCATCACTCTGGAAACATTAATGGCTCCCTCTCATTACCCACGGCCAATGGGCAATACGTGGGGCCATAGGGTGTCCTCTCATTTGGACCTCTTAATGATCCTGTGTGGCTCCCACCTGACAGAAACCGAAGCCCAGTGCTGTTATGCTGTTTGCCCAGAGTTGCTCCAAAGCTGGTGTTCTTCTGAAAACACTTCTTGGCCTTCAAAAGATTCAGGGCTTGGGAACCCAGGGTTTTATCAAGTGCTCTTCTTTTCTTTGCTAAATCAAGATGCAAATTTCAAAGTTGGACCCAAAAGGAATCAGAAACAATTACTGCTTCAGATTCTTCCATAGAATACCTTGAAAGCAGAAGACCAGATTCTGAAAGGAAAGACAGTTGGCCAGCTCAAATACAAAGAAGAGACTTCCATTTCTTTGCTTCCCCAAGTCTGGAAGCAAACCCTGGTCACACGCAGCATTTAGGGAGCTGTTACATGCAGAGGTTCAGAAGGGCAGGTCTGAGTCAGAAGGGCCTCAGCTCCAGCTGGGGCTGAATGAGCAGACTGCACCTCTGAGGAGGGAGGCTCATGGCCGCTGCCCCATGAGGGTGCACCACAGCACAGGTAGTCCTGCACTGAGTCCTGGACTGGCCCTGAGACCAGTTCTCCTCTGCCTGCTTCCTTGCCATGTTTGTAGGCTGTTGGGTTTAGACAACAGTCATTCAGGTTAGAAGGACCAAGGCCATGGAAAAAGCTGTGAAAGTCATCCTCAAAACAGGGCTGAAGCAGTTAGCTGTGGGCCCAGTCCAAAGGGAAAGCAGGGTGGTAATATTAAGAGAGGTACCAAAAAAAATCCATACCCTTTGAACCAGAAATTCCACTTCTGGGAACATCTCCTAAAGAAATAATTCAAAAGGAAAGAAAACACTGTATTCATGAAGTGGCTCTTACAATTTAGTTGAAGAGTGGAATAGTGGAAGCAGCCCAAACTCCAACAGGAAAATGCCTACGTGAACTGCGGCAGAAGTCACCAGAGAAACCTTTTTGCAGCTGGAAGAAGTCAGACTTATGAAACTGTCAGCTGGGTGTGGTAGCACACACTTTTAATCCCTGTACTTGGGAGGTAGAGAAAGATGGATCAGGAGTTCAACATTATCCTCAGCTACACAATGAATTTAAGGCCAACCTGAGTTACATTAAACCCTATCTAAATAAATGAAAAAACCTCCATCATGGGCTAGAGGCATGGGTAGCATGCAAAAGGCTTTGGGATGCCTGGGATGCATCTCCAGTGTTGCAAAACAAAAAACTAAAAAAAACAACAACAAAACAAAACAAAACAAAAAAAATCCCACAGCGCTGTCACAAGAGGAAAAAAACAAAAACAAAAAAACTTAAGCTACAATGAAGAGAGAAAAACTGGAAGATGAACGGGAGACCATGGCAAAGACATTGCAGCATCTTGAGAAGATGAGTCGGAGGGCAAAGACCAGAGGAGAAAGAAAAAAAAAGTCTTCATGTTGACATTATGGGAAATTTCTTTTCCTTCCTTTCAAAATGTTGAGTTTTCTTTACTGTGCAGCACATAGCCAAAGAAAGAAGCAAAGTAACCTATTCCCTCAAGGTCAATAGTAACAAAACACAAAAACTGCTGTGGTATGCAGGGGACACAGAAACAGAGAATAGGGACACACATGTGTAATCCCAGCAATCTGTGAGGCAGATGCAGGAGGATCTCAGGTTTGAAGACAGCCTTGGATATGTAACGAGGTACTCATAGTCTCAAAACAAAATTTAGATAACGATGTAGCTTAGTGGTAGAGCACTTGCCTACCATGGACAAGGCCGTGGGTTCCATCCCTAGTACCAAAAACAAAAGACAGAAAACAACAAATAAATGAAACCCTAACACAAACACCTTAATTTTATAATGGCTTCCAAGATAGCTATATGAAAATGCTAGTGCTTAAATTCAGAGTTCAGGATGTGCAGAGTCCTCCAATGGACTCTTATCCTCGGCACTAAGCTCAGTAGATTTGGATGAGTAAAGAGTCTCTCTTGCTCATCTCTGCTGTTGGTATGTTCCATGGTTGTTCTGTCAACATCCTTTCAGGGCCTGGAAACTTCTTAGCCATACTCTCAGCTACTGAGTGGGGGACACAAGAGGAACTTCAGGTTCAGGGAAGTTAAGTAATGTTCTCCAGGTCACACCTCACTGGATCTGACTCATGAACTTGTGTTCTTTGTTACCACTTCTTCCAACTGCCTCTCCACATTGGTGGGACCCACACACATTCCAAGATCTACTTCGGACTTCTCAGGGGACCCCAAGAGTTCTGGTGACCTTTACTTCAGCTGGACTTCCCTTCTCAGCTGCCATGACTCAGTGGCACTTCTGCTATTTTGCTCTTACACTCTTTTTTTGGTCTTTTTAAGACAGGGTCTCCCTGTAGCCCCAGCTGGCCTAGAACTCACTACGCAGACCAGGCTGGCCTCAAACTCACAGAGATCCACCTGCCCCTGCCTCCCGAGTGCTGGGATTAAAGGCGTGCGCCACCACGACCGAAATTTTATTTTATTTTTGGT